CAAATAAATTCTTGGTTTGGTCATTACTTATTCCCTGAGCCTAAGAGATCAATCTCTAGAGATGAAAACAATACAAATGCTTAATTGATTGCTCAGATTTTTTACATACTATTTAATCTTTGAGTTACTGTGTAGCTCTATGAGGAGCTGCTTTACCCAATTAAAAAGAAACTGGTAACTTGTATTTAATTAATGAGAGGTTAAATCTAATGAAAAGTTGTTTTGAAATTTTACATAGAGCATCCTTTGTGTGAACAGAGCCAGAGGGAATATGGTCACCACATGGTAACATTACTAGGAAGATAATAAGGATGGGTTAGTGGTTAGCTAGAAGCAGAGACCACACTGAAAGAAAGGTGGAGGAAAAATAGGAATAAGGTATAATATTCTATTGTTTCTTCCTATTTTTCTCCTGCTGCACTCTTCACCTCTCCATTCTACAGTCAGATAAATGGTGAGGAAGAACTCACATCATCTCTCATCCCATTATTTCTCTAACTACACAGATACAACCGAGAGCTAAATTCACAAGTGACACCACTGAACTAACAATGCCTGGGCTGTATGTGCAAATGAATGTTATCTTTTCACTAGTGATCCAGTGCATGAAATTCATGCACATTAAAAGGGGATTAATTAGAGGAATTAATTTAATATTGCTATTTGCCCTTTTTCTATAATAGAAGTGTCAAAGATGAAAATAAATTAGTAAAATGTATATGAAAACCTTCCTCCTGTCAGAGTCTAGGTCTCACCAGAGGACCCAGAGAGTCAAGTCCCCGCCTACCCACATACCCCTCAAAATCACGTGAGACCCAGACCAGGCTGGCCCCCCTATTGGGCTAGATCCAGTCCCACCCTTGTCAAGCCCTGTAGGCAGGGGGTGTAGCCTCAGGTTCCCTGGCCTGGTGCCAGCATGGGAGGCATGGCCTGAGGTCCCCCAGCTCAGACCAGGGTGGGGAGCATGCCTTAATGTCCTCCATCAAGCCCCACCAGGTGGGGGGCATGGCCTTAGGTCCCCTGTCAAGTCCCCCTAGACAGGGGCTCTGCCCAAGTTCCCCTGTCACGCCCAGCCAGGTTGGGGGGCACAGCCTCAGGTCCCTTGGCCCAGTGCTGGGACAGGTGGTATGGCCTGAGGTCCTGTCAAGCCCCACAGGGGTGGGGGAGGGTGTAGCCTCAGGTCCTTGCTGATTGCACGTTAAGGCTCCTTATGGGAACTTGGCCTCAGCTGTGGGTGCAACCATATTTGTGATGGAGTGATGGTCAATTTGCATATTACTCTTTTATTAGATAGGATTGTACTATGCCTAAGGCACCAGAATGCCTGCTGGGAGAGACTGTTCTCATGTGGGACAGTGAAGTGACAGAGACCAAAGGCCTCTTTGCAAAACTCACTGGATCTATGGGGACCCAAGACACCCATGCATGTTTACCTGGTGAGCCTGCCAGAGAGTCCCCTCTGCTGAAGGCGAAGGTACGAGACACAGACACAGGCACTAAAGAGTCAAGGGCCAAGGGTTTGTGAGTTGTGAAGGGGAAGATAAACACAAAAGGAGAGAGACAAAGAGTGGTGAGACAGTCTGTTCCTGGATCTTCAAAGCATCACAGTTCTCTGCAAAAGGAAATTGTGCCTCTGAAAACATGGAGATCGCACCCTCTCACAGTCAGTCTCCAGAAAGAGGGAAAGGAAATACTTTCTGAAGGTCTTCCAAAAAGATGTAGAATACTTTTAGAGGGGAGGAGACCTGCCAAGGATAAGGACCACAGTGCCCCAGTGGGGAGTGTGCATCTGCAGCAGCATTCTCTCTGAGCCTGCAAGTCTGCTGGGAGCCCAGCACTGCATTCCCACCAGGCGCTCCCAGCTGCCACATGCATCTATTCACTGACCAGAGGACTGAAAGCAACATGCATGCTCCTGCTAGGAGCATCCCTGAAGAAGCTGGATCCTGCCTGCGACTCCTAGGAGCTCCCTCCGGGGAGGAACTATGTGCTGCTAGAGGCTTGGGAAACATGAATGGCACCAAGATAATGGAGACAGTGCAGGCTCTGTTCCCTTTATGCTGCACTGGAAAGCCAGAGTGACTTACTTGTAACCTTGAGTTCAACTCTGAGGCCTTGGTCACGGGCAGTGTTCTGGCAAACTCATCATCCCATTAATCACCTTCAAAGGCTGATAGAACTATAGGCTAGCTTCCAGGAAGGAACATTTTGCTGAAGTGAGATCCTAAAAGAGTTTACTGCCTTGTGGTTCAGCCTTTAGCTCTCCCTTTACCTACAAGCAAAGGTTCTTGGCCAGTGAAAGATGCTGGGTGGCTGGACCGAGGGCTGAAAGTCCAGCAGGGTCAACTGTAGGGTGTGGCCCAAGCATGTCAAACTCACAGTATGTGGCCCACAATGAATATGTTTGCAGCCCATTCAATATAACGGTATGCAAGAAACATTTTAATAAAAGTTTCATACCTTAATTTTTACAATATCCTGTTATACATAATTATTAATAACGAACTACAATGTTTGCTAATGACTGATTACTATAATCATGTTGCATTCATTGCCCTTATGGGCCTTATGCACAGGTGCACCATTTCTCTCCACTAATATACTAACAGCGAATATTTTAGCAGCCGACTGCTATGCCATTAGTCTTGGACTGACTTGTTTGGTGTGCACGACAGGAAATATTTCACTTTCGGAGAACAAGAAAAATAGGTTTATTTGTGTTACGCTTATTAACTTGTGCAGTTATTCAGTGTCTGTTAAGTTAATGTTCAAGAAAAAATATTAATTTTTATTAAAATGTTCTATTTTATGTTAATGATTACTCATTATTTCAGCCCTTTGTATTCAGCAAGTCTCTATCGAAATAAACCTACATTCCTATGAAAATTAAAGCTTTTGTTTTTTTTGTGGCCCACATAAACTTAAACCTTGTTTAATTGGCCCATGTTAGCCTTTGAGTTTGACATGTGTGGTGTGGCCGGTCTACGGAGTTATTTCACACTTCACTCCACTAAGTGGAGAGGGCTTGGGGGAAGATGGAAAATGTCTCTACTAGTATATCCCTCACAGACTAACTCGATTTTTTTTTCTCCTGAAGATTTAAAAAAAATATATATATATTTTATTGATATTTTACAGAGAGGAAGAGAGAGGGATAGAGAGTTGGAATCATTAATGAGAGAGAATCATCGATCAGCTGCTTCTTGCACACCTCCTTACTGGGGATGTGCCCACAACCAAGGTACATGCCCTTGACCGGAATCGAACCCGGGACCTTTCAGTCCACAGGCTGACGCTCTGTCCACTGAGCCAAACCGGTTTTGGCTCTCCTGAAGATTTTTAAAGATGCTCAAAAGTGGGGAGAGGGAAAGAGTGTAATGCTTCCTTTTAGTTAACCAGTCCTGAAGGAGAGACCTGTGTTGCAATTGTTCTCCCGTCCCATTGATAAAACGGAAGGATTCTGATACAAAAAACTAGAGACAGACATGAAGGAAAGGAGAAAATCAGATAACATCTTTCTACTACTTTAAACAATATATACTTTTAAAATGTAATTTCAATTAGGTGGGCTGGGGAGTCGTAATTATCCTCTTCCCCCAGAGCTCCCACCTCTTTTGGTCCGCTGGAAGAGCCAGAACAGGGCCAACAGGTCTAGGTAAGATTTAGAATCCCAGAAGTTGCTCTACATTGGGCAATGTGATGGGTGGGCATCTCCTTCAGAGAACCAAGTCCGGTCCTGGAGCACACCCCTCCCCCACCCAGAGTTCTCACTCTGAGTATGAGGCTTCCTCCATCAGCCTTACTTGAGATTCACTGGCCTAGAGAAGTATACTAAGGAACCAGGGTTTTTATTTTACAGCTCTCCTTCAACTCATGCGGGGCCACCCCTGGGTGTGGGGAGCTACTCTAATTTCATTTCAGCCCTCTGCTGGGCTAGAATGTGAAATTATACCATAAATGGTTCCAATATGCCCACAGAGAGATTGCATTCTGGAACGTGAAGGATCTGCAATCTGTATTTCATTGTGCTGTGTGCAATAGTTAGGGCACCGGAATGCATCTATGCAAGTCACCAACTTGCTAGGTGATTTGGAGCAAGCCACTTCTTTAGTTTCCCCATGTTAAAACAGTATCTGTCTTTCATGTGCCAAGGATTGATATCCAGCGTTGGGGCCCTCTGAGAAATGCAATATAAAACACTACGTAAAACGCTTTTTATGACAAGAGAAAACACTCCATTTGCCATTAAAATCGCCACTTTAAACAAGAACAGCTGAAAGCAATGCAAAAGTCAGACCAGTGAGTAAAAAAAAAAAAAAAAAAAAAAAAAAAAATTCTAGAGAAATCATTCTTTCAGCATCACACTTACATCACAATAAATGCCATGCCTTCTAAACACCAGCACAACAATTCCCTATAGGAAACAGCAAGTAGGTAAAGCATAGAAGTGCCAGAGCAAACCAGCCAGCAGCCCGGGCCAGCCCGCACCATCAGCATGCACGACCAGCTGGCAGACACCGCTCCTCCAGCGGAGGAGATGTGGCGAAGGAGGAAAGAGAAGCAGATAAGCAACGTATCGCACCAGCCTGGGATGTCTATCCCAAAATCTTGCAGTCACTTCCTATTAACTGCACAGACACAATAGGCATATTACGTTCTCAAGCAAAGGCCAGAGGGTGAGTCATCACCACAGAGAAGGAAAGGCCGGACCTCCACCAGAGCACACAGATGTGTGACAATAAATGGCGCCTCCCCTCACCATCTCCCTCCCTGCCATTCATCACGGTACATGAGCAGAGCAGCAGCAGAAAACATTCCGGACACAGAAAACAAAGCCCCTGTGGCCTGTGAGTACCTGGCAAGAAGCAGTGTTCCTGGCAGAGCATTACAGAGAGGCTGCCAGCATTTGTGTTAGCCCCAGCCCAGGCTCCGGGTGCCCAGAGCGGGCTGAGGCAGGACTACGGTGGAGAGCATGAGGGAGGGGTTTGAGAAATACATACGGAAGGCAGAGGATCCAGTCAGGCTTCCCACCTTCCGCACATCATTATCTGAGGACAGAAAGAGGCAACGTGTTTCAGAGGCAGCTCAGACAGTATACCTTCTTAGGGAGGTGCTCCCTCTCCCGCCCCACCCACAGCACCCATGGGCTCGGAAAACAACAACACAACGCACCAGACAATAAAATGGAAGTGTAAAAAGAAAAACTAATTTGTCTTTTCACACTGAAAAAAGACCACTATCAACATTTACTAACATTACTGTCTACTATGTACTTCCACAAACAAACTCTCTGAATGAAAAATGAGTCTTATTCCCACTTCAGGGAGGAGGACACCACTGCCCAGGAAGTTACAGGGCTTGCCCAGGGTCCCGAATAGGAGCAAAGACTTGAACCCAGCTGCTTTTTTACTGCAATATCCCATTGCTTCCTCAATAAGCTATGGCATGGGAACTGGAATACCTGAGCAAGAAGTGGTCATGATGGCGGGGACACCATAGTAGGTGAAGGCTCCATTCTCGAAGCGAAGGCCTTCCTTACCAACCTCCACCTCCACTTTCCCCTGAAGAGAGAAGGCAGTGTGCTAAGGGTGTGTACATGCACTTCCAGGTCTCTTATTGACCACAACCCTAAGCTTCTGTCCGGATAACAAGTGGACTTAAGAGCTGGTCACAGGGAAATGGGAATTCTGTCCAGATTTACGTTTCAGAAATAGCACTGCCAACTTCAGTAGCCCTTTGCAGTGAGTTAATTGCCTTATTCATAAAGCTGCATCCAGTCACGAATAACCCCGAGCTCTCCTTGCATCTCCTTCCATGATGCAGATCCAGGTATCCATTGGCCCAGGGCCCTATAAACGGACTCAATGGCTTGTTCTGAGATGAGACTATCTTTAAATCTGGTTGAAATAAAATCTAATTCTGATTCTGTGTGAAGCTTGTTTAACCCATCACCATTAAGGACGGCAGCTTACGTGTAGCATACAGTGTGTGTCTGTGAGGCTGACACTGTGTTATGTGCTTGGCATGGTTTCTCACTCAATCGGTCCCACAGCCCTATGTAGCCCAGCCTGCCTTCACCTCCAGTTTATAGATGAATCAATTTTGAGGCTCAGAAAGGTTAAATCACTTGGTCAAGGTGAGTCAGGAAGCGGCAATATTGGAATTTTAAAGCCAGATCTTTCCAATATCTGAATTTACATTCTTGCCATGACATTTTACTTCCTCCAACTTTGATTTATTATAAGAACAGTTTATATTAAGCACAAAACAGTAAATTGTATGGGTCATTACGTTATTTAAAAAGTGTGACAGAACCCTTCTTTATTTCCAACAGCGAAGAATGTGACCCCATTTTTTGGAGAAGGTCATTTTATTGAGGTTATATAGAAGAATGGGCATGTGGCACACTATCGTGTCAGAGCAGACGGAGTGCAGGTGGGCAGACGAAATAGAGCCCGCTTGTAAGTTACTGTAAGTTTAATTACGATTTTAAGCCAGTCACTGTATTTAGGGCTCAGAAGATATTGTTGGGAAGAGAAGGGACAGTAACAGAGCTAATAGTGGAGCCAGGCCAGGGCGCCAGCAGGATCCAGTGCTGGAACCACGCCTGGCACGGATTTGCAGGCCTATCCAGGCGCAAGGGCAGAGGTGAGGACTGGGACGATACTGCACCGCTCTCACTGAGCCATTGGCTTCCTCCCGTGTCCCCTTAAAGAGGAGGCATCCAGGCACCGCAGAGACTGAGACCTTTCCGAGAGAGTGCATGTGTTCTGTGCACCTCCAGGTGGAAGTCAGAGGTGATGAGATTTCAGACAGACAGATGGAAAAGCTTTAAGTGTGTAGTGTCTGAAGCTTGAGAGAAGGCACAGGACAGGTCCACTCCTGGGCGTGTCCATGCAGAGACAAGAAGGGGTCAAGGGTCAGGAGAGCAATTTTGAAAGTTCAGTCACAGATCCCTTCTGCTGGAGAGGTACCTGCTGCACCCCACCACAAACACCCGCGTGGTCAGACTAAACGCCCTCACGTTCCCCCACTCCTAGGACACCAACCAGTCGAACTTGGCCCCTTCTGAGGGTCACTGACAGACACCCACCCTCCTGGCCTTGCCCCCAGGACATCCCGCGGAGTGTTGGACCCCGGCAGTGGGGAGGCACGGCCCTCCTCTCCAGCCCAAGGAGGCCCGTGCCGTGTCCGCAGGGGGACTCAATGCTCCCACGCACCTGGAGCAGCAGCACGAAGTAGTCCACCGGGCGGCTGCGCTGGTAGAGGTAGTGTTCCGGGGCTTTCTTGTTCTTGTCGTCAAACTTCAGCTCCTGGATCACGTTGGGATGTTTCAGGAGCCGGAGCAGGATCTTCTCCGAGAGGTACAGAGACTTGAAGGGTTCCACTTCTAGGGGAGAGTGGGAGGCAGGAAGAATCGGCAGCTGGCTGGGGTCAGGGTGGGCACAGCCAGGCCACGTGTCTGGAGCCACCTCCATTGGCGCTCCAGGCATGAGGCTGGAAGGACTCTTGTGACTCAGGTGTGTGTGTGTGTGTGTGTGTGTGTGTGTGTGTGGCCTTCCCCTGCTCCCTGGGAGTGTGTGTCCCCGTACGGCACCTCAGAAGAAACAGGCCACCATTTTGGAAATGTTAGTTTTGTTATTAATTTCTTACTTGACTTTATTTAAAGCTGCATGTGAACTTAAAAAAGAAGGCACCTTTTCCCCCACGGGCATGGCTCAGTGGTTGAGTGTTGACCCATGCACCAGTAGGTTGCTGTTTTGATTCCTGGTTAGGGCACATGCCAGGTTTGTGGGCTCAGTCCCTGGTGGGGGACATGCAGGGGGCAGTCAGTCAATGTTTTTCTGTCATTGATGCTTCTGTCTCTCTCTCCCTCTCCTTCCCTCTCTCTCTGAAAAACCAATACAAATATAGTAAAAAAATAAAAATAAAAAAAAAGGGGCAATTTTGCCATTTGTGACAACATGGATGAACCTGGAGGGCACTATGCTAAGTGAGATAAGCCAGACACAGAAGGACAAACATTGCATGATATCACTTATACGATGAATTTAAAATAAACTCAGAAGCAGAGGACAAAAAGGTGGTTGCCTGGGGGAGTGGGAGGGAGATGGAAGGGAAGGGTTAGTCAAAGGGCACAGAGTTTCAGTTATGCCAGATGAATAAATCCTAGAGATCCACCGCACAGCACAGTGCCCACAGTGAACAATACTGTATTGTATACTTAGAGGTTTACTCAGAGGGCAGATCTTATATTAACAGAGAAAAATAACAATACAGTGGGAGGAAAACTTTTGGAGGGAATCGACATATTTATGGCATAGATGGTTTCACTTATTTTCAAACACATCAAATTGTATACATTAAAAATGTACCATTTTTTTGTATGTCAATCATACCTCAATAAAGTGGTTAAGAAAACAAAGTTGGGCATGGCTAAGTAAGCATGTAAACAGCAAAACCTTTACTGCAATGATCAAGTGAAATACAGAGAATTTAATCTGAATTTATATTGTGACATATATCTGTTGAATGAAATTCCAAGTTAAGAGAAATGGTAATTATTTAAATGATATGTTTTCAATAAAGTGTAGCATCCTTGCATCAAATAACAGATTTTATATTATATTATATCATACTATAATATTAGAAGATAAAGCTGCTTTGCTCTAGGAAATCCATCAGTAGTTAAAAGAAATCTGTATTCAGAACTAGATAACATTTTGAAAACTCTAAAGAATTGCAACTTTTCTACTTTTTTTTTTTTAACTCCTGAAATAGTACCAGTATTCATCATATAGTCAATAATCATATGCTGGATCAACTAAATATTGAACTTTGTAATGGGTGTGCATCTGAGGTCTGCACATTAATTAGGCCTGGGTGAGAAGGTCAGAGAGTTCAAAGACCAACTTTACCTTCTTCACAAGTTTATCTTTGGATCCTCTCACTTCTTTTTCTTTCTAAAGATCCCAAGATTCACAATCCACTTCCATATTTTAAGAACTCCTACCACTATATGGTCTCTGGAGGGTACTGGACCCCAGGGTCTTGTTGTTGGTTAGGACAATGCCTTTCCCTCCCCCACAGATCACTGGGGTACCCCAAATCCAACAGAATGGAGGTCAGCCTCTGTCTCCCACCAAGAAGTGAATGGAGGAAGGGAAACAGTGGTTTCTCTAGCTTTTTTTCTTCAGTAGAAGACCAACCAGCAGAGTTGGGTTGTATTCATTCCCTCCCAGAAGGTCAGGCGGAACCCCAAGGGCTGGCAGTGACAGTATGTGGCATCCTGTCACCCTTGCCTGAGGCAGTCTCCTCTACTGGAACAGTGGTTCTCAGTGTTACACTGGAATTAGGTCACAAAGTATTAAAAATGATTGGTGCTTGGGTCCTACCCTCCAGGTTCCGCCTGGGCTGGAGACACGGTGGGCAGTCATACCTGTGGCCATGAAGCGGTGTGTGGCCAGCAGAAGCTGCGGGGAGACCTTCACTCTCATCTCCGAGTCAGAGAGCTTAAACAAGGAGAAGTCATGCCGCTTCCTCTCCCGGTGTGGGACCCTCTGCTTCTTCCGGTTGTCGGCTGTGGATCACAGGGGACAGATTACAGATATCTCAGAATCACTGTTGGTTTTTGGAGGTTTTCCCAGAGTTGTGGGGGACAGACAGATCCTCTGAGACCACCTGAATTTCTGCAGTGTCAACTGTAGATGACATGACTATATCTCTCCCAGGGAGTGAAAGGATGTTGATCAGGGATAGAAGGTGAGAGATGCTAAAATTGTCTCAGTGTTATTTACCCGTAGGTGGTGCATGGTGGAAAAGGGTGGCTTGGAACTCCCAAGGTCAGGGTTCTTGAGCTGGTCCCCCTATTTGTGAGCTGTGCAACCTCTTTAAGCATCAGAATGTTTGTTTTAATCTATACAACGAGGTTAATAATGAATAACTCTTCTCCTCATCTCCAAGAGTAATTATGAGACTTGAACCAGAAACTATCTGTGAAGCACTTATAAAAAGGCATTCAAACATCAGGGACTTCATTCTCAGCGTCTAGAGATTTGGGAGTCCCAGCGGGTTTGAGCCTCCCTCCGCCCCTCTTCGGCCCCCAGAGCTGGGCTCACCTGGTCTCTTCCTAAGGATTTTAACCACGCTCTGAGCAGAACCGGGGGCAGCCACCCAAAGGGGGCAAGGGTCACCTCTTCTTCCCACTCACAGTTCTCCTGCTTCAACCTTGACCCCTCTAGGGGGAGAGACTTAGGGAGAAGGAGGGATTGCTGTCCCAGGAGCTGAAATTCGGAGAAAACACTTCCTGGTTTAGAGATTCCCTTGGACGTAAATAACACTCCCATTTTGGAGACAAAGCACTGCCTTTGTAACATTTGCAAGGAAAGCTCTGACAGACTGGGTAACCAAAAGCAGTCACTCTCTGCACGGAGCAGTCCATATTGTTCCTGTGGGAGAGTGGGTAGGAAGGTGAGGAGACCAGAAAGGAGGGGGCAGGGACAGAAGCGGGACAGGTGCCAGGGGTGGGGACGGGAGAAGAAACCAGCTGGTAGGGCTGAAAAAGCCTGAGGGAGAAGAGCAATGTGTAAGAAGGGTCATTTAAGGTTTGGCTTGGGTTGTGGTACAAAATCTCAGGACAGTCTGCACTGCGCAGGAAGTTTCGATGTAAAAAGATTGTTGAGTGGGACCCCAGGGTGTGTTGGGGTCTGTATCTGGATGGTTAAAGAGACAAAACAGGGATAACACAGGACAGAATCAAGGACAGAGTGGCTGCCTCAGGTATACTTCGTTTTCTTTAGTTCCTTTGTCATCCAAAGGCCAGGAGGTGTCCTTTTCATAGTCTTGGTTCCTGAAGGTTCTGTCCTGATAAACATTTAGCTAGCTCAGCAATTTTCAACCAGTGCGCTGCAAGAATTTTTTAAAACATGCAATGCCTGGCCGAAACCGGTCTGGCTCAATGGATAGAGCGTCGGCTTGGGGACTGAAGGGTCCCGGGTTCGATTCTGGTCAAAGGCATGTACCTTGGTTGTGGGCATATCACCAGTAGGGGGTGTGTAAGAGGTAGCTGATCGATGACTCTCTCTCATCGATGTTTCTAACTCTCTATCTCTCTCCCTTCCTCTCTGTAAAAAATCAATAAAATATATTAAAAAAAAAAAATTCAATGCCTGGCTACTTAGTCAGGGACACTGACTCCCCCCCCCCCCCTTAGATTATAAAATTAAAAAATGACAATAGCCAATACAACATTGTTGTCTGGTGTGAATGAATCAAAATTATACATATTTTTTTTCATCAGCTCAGCCCAAAATATAATTAGTTTATGTGTGCCACGAGATGAAAAACAGTGAAAATCATTGAGCTAGCATGTTCTCAAGGACTCAGATAATTCAAGCCAGGGTACCTTGCTATGCCTGCACCTGGCATTAGGAGGTTGACACACAGAATGCTTGGACTTGATGTTTACTCTTTCACACTGAGTGTCACACTAAGCCAGCGCTGAGAGTCACAGAGGAAAAGATGACCTTGGACCACAGCCAATGCCATGCACTTACTGTAGAGGTCAGTTTCATCCAGTATCTCTGACTTGATGATCTCCTCTATGATGTCCTCCAGTGTGACAATGCCCATCACCTCGTAGAAGGGGTCCCCTTCTCCCTCATTATTCACCCGCTGGACAATGGCCAGGTGAGATTTCCCTAGAGAACAAATGAAATCACAGTTATGCATCTGGGATGTTTTCAGAGACCCTTCCTTCGGAGAAATTTATACAACGTTGCTTTCTGACTAATCTCAGGACTGACCCACCCCAGGACCTCCTTAAAATGCGAAGTTTGTATACAAAGCCTATATAAATACAAACAAAACTTTTACAACTCTGTTTCTTTTTAGGAAAGTTACCTAATATAAGGTGTTGGCAAAAGTAGGTTTACAGTTTCTCATAGGGAAAGAGACATACAGGTTATGATGATTACAATAGCTTTATTAACTCAGTGTTTTGTGCTCTCACAAGTATAAACCTACTTTTGTCCACTCTGTATACAAAGGCAGTTAAATTTTTCTTTTCTTTTTTTTTTTTTTTTAAACTTTCACATATTAGCAAGCACAGCTGACCTTTGGACAATATGGGGGTCAAGGGCACTGATGCATGCACAGTTGAAAATCCACAAATAACTTTTGACTCTATAGGCAGCTCTTTGCATCGTGGATTCAACCAATTGCTGATGGAAACAGTATTGGGAATGGGAAAATACTGTTTTTGAGCTGTAGTTGGTTGAATCTGCAGATGCAAAAACCATGGATATGAAGGGCCAAATATATTTATTGAAAAAAAAAATATGCATGTAAGTGGACCCATGAAGTTCAAACTAATGTTATTCAGGGGTTAACTGTATATCTAAGCTAAAGGAAGATGAATAGTCTTATTGAAAGGTCAAGAACTTGGAGTCAAAGAATTAGGTTAGAAACCTTTTCCTCTTCCAACTTCCCCTATCCCCTATCCCTTAATTATTCCAGTTACTATTTGTGAAACTGATCCTCATCTAATTATTTGACCTCTGTGAGTCTTGATCTTCTCATCTAGAATCAGGGGGAAATACCAGTCTGGTGACTTTAAAACATGCCTCCAAATTCTTTTATAGACTTCCCATCAAGAAGTGTGGTCTCTATGCCCTTCTCTTGAGTCTGAGCAGATTGTGTCTGCTTTAACCAGCAGAGAACAGGGAAGTGTTTGCTATGAGACTTCTGAGGCTAAGCCATAAAGGTCATGTGGTTTCTGCTGCAGAAACACTCTAAGAAGTACGATGACTCTCAGGGTGGAGAAACTGCATGTTCCAGCTGAGCCCAGCCTTCCAGCCATCCCATTAAAGTGCCAGCCAGATTTTAGCAAAGAAGCCATCATGGCAGTGGATCTGCAATCTTAGTTGATTCAGCTCTGCTTTCAAGTCATCTCCAGCTGCTGGCGTAAGATATTGCAAAGCTGAGGTAAGCAAGTCCCACTGTACCTTGTCCAAATTCCTGATTCACAGAATAAAATGTACCCATAAAGCACTTTGGAGCTCAAATGACCTAGTGGATATGTGAAAGCACTTTGTAAATTGTCACGTGTCACAAGAAGTTCATTTTTATTGTCCAACTGAATAATAATAGTTAACATTTATTGAACTCTAACTACATACCAGGCATTGTTCAGAGAGCTTTCTATATATTGATTCATTTTATCCTCATAACAACCCTCAAGATGAATACTATTATTATCTCCATTTTACAGAGGAGAGAACTGAGGCACAGAATGGTTACATAAAATGAATAAAGTTACACAGCCACTCATAAATGGCAGAGCTGGATTGCAAATCCAGGTAACTGAGCTCAATCCTAACCTAGGGACTGAGTCTTACGTACAGTCTTCCTTCACCTTGGTTTGTTTTCATCTGCTGATAAACACATTTCCTTGTTCTGTTTCTAAAATGGAAACCTGGGTGGTTCTTTTCCTTGTCTAAGAGACATTTCAGTAGAAAATCTAGGGTATTGACTAGGATGTTATTCTTACAAAAAAAAAAAAAAAAAAAAAAAGGAAGTTCATGCTTTATCAGTGTTACTTTTTATAAGCTTTTGCTTGGTCACTGTTATCAGATAAGAGGAGTAGTCAGGTTGCTGGAGGCATAATTAACCACTACTATTTAAATACATGAACTTCTGTGTCAAATACTTCTAATCACAAGAAAGCTACCTATTGGAATTTTTAATGGAAAAGATGGCATTTCTTTCAATAATGGTTTATAATTTCTTCTCCACCTTTAACCTATCCTTTGACTTCTCCCAAACTGATCTGATCATGCCTCTGCCCTGCTCAAAACCCTCCATGGCCCCCTAGTGTGCAGAGCATCAAAGCTAGACGCATGAGTTTGGTACTATCAAGAGTGTAAAATGTGGCTCTTCCCAATCTTTCTATATTCCAGAGTCCCTCTACTTCCTCATCTTCCTCCATCTCCACTTTCTAGGTCTTCACCCACAGTTTCCTCCTCCCATTCCAGCTCCACTGGTCCCTCAAGTTCCAGCTCACATGCCAGCTCAAGAAAGCTCTCCCGGATCTTGCCCACTCTGAATCCGAACCAACCTCTCCTTGCTCGTGTTTCCAAGCCCCCGATAACTCCATTAGAGCAACTGTCATACACATTGCTCCTTCTTATAACTAGCAATGTGTGTGTAATGGACTATTTCTTGTCCTCAGATCATCAGCTCCTTCAGGACATTAGACTTAGCTAGGTGACCTCCCCTATAACAGGCAGCCAACACATTTCTGATGACCTGAGCTAAGATGGAATAAAAATCCAAAGTGGAGCCGAAACCGGTTTGGCTAAGTGGATAGAGCATTGGCCTGCAGACTGAAAGGTCCCAGGTTTGATTCCACTCAAGGGCATGTATCTTGGTTGCAGGCACATTCCCAGTGGGAGGTATGCAAGAGGCAGCTGATCGATGATTCTCTCTCATTGATGTTTCTAACTCACTATCCCTATCTCTTTCTCTCTGTAAAAAATCAATAAAATATATTTTTAAAAAATCCATAGTGGATATAATATATGATGTTAAGACCAGACACTAAAACATTTACTTTTTGATAAAATATAATATGTTTAAATTAAAATTTAAACTCCGATGTGGTGGTTCTAAAATTATTCTTCTTTGAAACAATTATCCTATTCAACAGGACTGAAGGGTTTGTAGTTTAACTTAGACTATACTGATTATTAGAACGTGCTCAATTTAAAGTTTTTCCCCCCACAACACAGTGTTCTTACACTTATGGTACCCATTCACACTTTTCTGCTAACATTTACTAGCAGATGACAAAACAAATAACTACTATAATAGAAAGACTTAAAAAAGTGATTTCTTAAAATTACTTTAATTGGATAACTTTTTTTTTTTTTGTGGAGCCCAATATATATATATATATATATATATATATATATATATATATATATATATATATATATATAGATAGCTCAGCCATACTTCCTGCCACTAAGAGATCAATTCATATGATGGGATTAAATAAAATAACATTTTATGATGTTTCACACAAAATAACATAACTTCCATTTGAAAAATCTCCCATTGGTCTACACTTTAGAAGATAAATTTGAGGATACACTATATGATTACCAGGGAATAGAGAGTTTAAATCCTAATTATGTACTATCAAGACAATGTACTTATGTCATCTACTTAGAAACATTTTATAATCCATGGTTAGCCTTCATGATTTCCTCAAGTGCCTGTGGAGATCTACGAACACACGAAGAAGTCATTCTTTCCTGGGTACAGACTGGAACAGGAATCAGCAATCACATAACCCTGTTCTGAGCTGACACTCACAGGGACAAGAAAACCAGATGTTCCCATGATACCCGAACCTGAGATCCTTCCTTTCTCAAAAAGGTTGGCCTTTGAGAGATTTACCTTCCTGTACCTCCTCTTCCTGGGCCCCAGAAGTGATGGGGATGGCCCAAAGTGAAGCCAGTCTTGAGAGATGGAAAAGTTAGTCACTCCCTCCTGCCACAGCACTTTGAGCATATCTCTTTATTGAAATTTGTAAGTACATTAATAGATATTATGATTATAGTAGCAGCTACCATTTGCTGTACATACTTTAGGGGCCAGACACAGTGCTAAGCATCATACACACGTCATTTCTCCAATGTTGCTGTTCTCTACTTATGTATGATCCCCCCCACTCCGAGGCAACAGCTATGTTCTACTTATCTCTGTTTTCCCAGAATCTAGAATAGCACTGGGCATAGAGAGAACTCCATAAATAATGTATGATAACTGAGTATCTACATCCAAAAGAATAAAGTTGGATACCTATGCCACACTACATACAGACATTAATTTGAGATGGACCAAATGCCTAAATATAAGAGTGAAAACTATAAAACACTTGGAGAAAAATATAGGAGTAAGTCTTTGTGACCTTAGAGTAGGAAATGGTTTTTTAGATAAGACACCGAAAGTGTAAGTAACCAAAGGGGTGGGGGGTGGGGGGAATTCAAACAGGACTTCAACACAATTAAAAAGGGACACCATCAAAAGAAAGTGAAATACAACTTACAAAATGGGAAAAAATATTTGCAAGTCACATACCTGATAGGGAGCTTGTATCCAGAATATACTAAAGAAAATGTACAATTAATAAAAATACAACTCAATAAAAAAGTGAGTAAAGGATGCAAATAAACATTTATCCAAGAAGATATACAACTGGCCAATAAGCAATAAATATTGATGAAGATGTGGCTTACATTTTGACTATTCCCCTCCTTGGCCCTTCTATGGGAACTATGCTCTTTCCGGTTAAGCTGTCCCTCTGTAAATTAACAGAATTTTTCAAGTGCCTTCTCACAACTATTAGTTCAGTAACTTCAGTTTCCTCCCAACTTACTAGAAAAGCAGGACACCTGGTAATTAATTAGGCTAAAAATGGTGAAATCATTAATATTTATACAATTTGTCAAGCATCTCTCGAGAACTTAGTTAGAAATGCACATTCTCAGGCCCCACCCCAGACGTAGTAAATCAGAATCCCAGAGGGTTCTGTCCATTAATAAGCTTTACAGATGGTTCTGATGTAGGCTAACGTTTGAAAACCACTGGCGTATGGGTAGGTTCTGTGGTGCTCTGGTTATGTGTCAGATGA